AGTCCCCATTACAGCTTTTCTGCAGCTTCAGGGCATCTCTGTAATTCCCATACAGATTTGTTTCTATATATATTACCAACTAGTTGGTGGCTTATAGGATATACAATCAGAAGCATAAATATCCTGTATTATTTCTTAACGCTAACCAAATATATTCTGCGCCCAAAATATAAACAATATTCTGGAAATACTCCACAAGTCTAGCAGTATCTGTGGGGGGAGAGAGGGAGCGAGGGGGAGAGAGAGAGAGAGAGGGGGGGAGAGGGAGAGAGAGAGAGAGAGAGAGAGAGAGAGAGAGAGAGAGAAAGAGAGAAACAGAACCACTTAAGCCCAGCTCAGGCCCTGATGGAAGGTCTCCTTTGTGTTCTTTTATACATTCCACCTAGTACTTGATCAACTTTAAGTACAATCTTTCTAAAACTTCCTCTGCATCAATTTCTAACCTATCAGGTGCTGCAAACTCCTCCCTCTGCATTATGACTTAAGTCTGACTCTTCTATGATAAAGATAGATGCAAAATATTAATTTAGAACTTCAGCCATGTTCCCTGCTTTTATAAACAACAACAAAAATAGAAATTGCTGGAAAAGCTCAGCAGGTCTGGCAGCATCTGAGAAGAGAATCAGAGTTAACGTTTCAGGTCCAATGACCCTTCTTCAGAACCTGCTTTTATGCCACAAATACCCTTTAGGTCCCTAATCAGCCCCATTCCTCCTTTAATTAGTCATTTAATATTTACAAGCCTATAGAAGACATTTGTATTCCTTTTATGTTAGCCATAAGTCTCCTCATACTCTCTGATTCTCTTGTTTTTTTCTAAATCACTCTCCTCTGAATCTTCTGCATTCTGTCTGATTCTCACTTACAATATTCCCTGACCTCTGTCATTTGCATCCTGTTTCTGCTTCATTCTTTATTCCTGTGTCATAGAGTCATGGAGATATACAGCACAGAACCAGACCCATCGGTCCAACTCGTCTTGGCCGACCAGATATCTTATATAATCTATTTGCAAACATTTGGCCCATATCCCTCTAAAATCTTCCTATTCATATATACATCCAGATGCCTTTTAAATGTTGTAATCGTACCAGCCTCCATCACTTCCTCTGGCAGCTCATTCCATACACGCACCACCCTTTGTGTTAAAAAGTTGCCCCTTAGGTTCCTTCTATATCTTTCCCTCTCACCGTAAACCTATGCCATTAGTGTTTTGATATAACAAGGTGTCGAGCTGGTTGAACACAGCAGGCCAAGCAGCATCAGAGGAGCAGGAAGGCTGACGTTTCGGGCCTACACCCTTCTTCAGAAATGGGTTTTGTGTTATCCATTAGTGTTTTGGATTTGTTTGACATACGTTTTTCCTTCATGGTTGCTTTGAAAATATATTGTTTTAAGAAACTGTCCCAACATACTCTGAACTCATCATCAAAGCTAAATTTGCCAATTTGATTTGTTCAATCCATAAGACGATTAAAGTCATCACGATTATTGAGGCACCTCTCTGACCAGTCCTCATCATTTATGTTAAATAGTCTAGTCCTGTTCTCGAGTTCCTCTTGACTCCAGCAACCAAAAACTTCAATTAGAGACGAAGGAAAAGCTGGGAAAGATTTGTAACTATTGTCCAAACACTGTATTATAGGAGAAAACTAGCGATACCAAAACCACAGCTTTGAACATTTCTAGTCAGCCACTTAACTCTTACAATTGTACTGAGTAGTTGTACTGTGAGTGACTATATAGCACTTGATCAGTCCACGAAGGCTTAGCAAAGAATTTGATGATAGGTAATATTGTGGGGAATGAGTCAGGCATCTTCTTCTAAACTTTATGTGGCCCGTGTTTCCTACATAGATGCTTGGAACGGAATGGCAAGGATGCCAAAGTGGTTTCTCAGAGCTGTAAGACTCTAGAGAGTGCTTTTGTTTTCATACAAATTCTCAGTACAGTGCTCTCCTGCCTTTGCATCACTGACATATGTCTTCCCCTCTGTTGGAGATGTTGCCTCCTCAGAGAACACTGCCAGAGAGGTCCTCTAAGAACTTAGTCCTTGTGAGAGACAGAACAGTGGATGTAATTTGCTCATGCAGGGAATCACAACCAAAATTATCTCTGCATTCACCCTAAATCCACACAACATATTATTTCAAAGGAGTAGAAATTCCAGTTTGTCGTCTCCTGTCAAAGTCAGAGGAACTATATATCTTTATCACAATCACATGCGTGACACAAAGTTTCCACAGATCATGACTCTAAATTAGGACTATCCTAATGGGCATAGCTTAGACACAATGTCAAAACCAGCTGAGATTTAGTACAAGATGCCCGCACCCAGACTGGTGTACAACTACAGCAGTCTAGAGAAACGTTGGGGCAAAGATTGTTCAAATATATTATAGTTTCGGTAACATTAAAGGAGGAAATTAACAATCACTGGAGTGATTTTTCAGCATGAGGTTACTGATATCAAATAGGCTGCACCAAATTTCAGAACAACGGACAGGCACATCTAAAAATGGAGGTTCTTCCAGGAACAAACAGATCTCTACCAGCACAGCAGAGTCATGTTCACTGTGGATGAAGGCCTCTGACCTTAATGCTTCCTAGTAATTACTAATAATACTGTATCCAAACAGACCACAAATAATAAGGCCATTTTCAAAGGCCTTTTTCTTTCTGCAGATATTGACTTATGCCCCCTTTGAGACTGGCTGAGTCCGGTCTTCAGACAGGGCAAGTTGCAGGAAATGCCTTTGTTGCTATGAGATAGAGCCCAGACATCTGGCAGGGAAATGCTATCAGTCACTTACAGGCATTGGTCCAACAACGCTGAATGCATGTTATTTACTGATAGCTTGCTAAGCAGGCAAGGCAGCTGACAGATCCACAATCCAATATTTTCAAAAAAACACTTTACATCAATCTTGCTTCGCTGATTTCTCAAAGTGGCCACTGCTCTCTAAGTATCACATCAATGTTTAAAAGCACACATGACTGCTTGAACTTCACACTGACAACTTTGAACTGGAATTTCTTGCTCAAGCTGATAACCCGCAGACTGGAAGTAGGCACCGAGTTCACTGGTTCACCAACCTCAGAGTGTGGACCAATTCCTGAACTATTAGGTTATTAGTTAAGCTTCACCACTATACAACTGAAGCTGGGACAAGTAGCAGTTTGAGCTGTATGGGCTGTTTGTGCAGCACGTCAGAGGGAGTAGGGAGCTGACCTGCAATAACTCACAGTGACTTACCTAACCCAAGAAATACAAGAGACAGGAATGGATCAATACAGAACCTGAAGTAAAACAAAGAACTGCAGCTGGAGATCTGAAACAAAAATAGAAATTGCTCCAGAAACTCAGCAGGTCTGGAAGTATCTGTAGGAAGAAAATAGGGTAAATATTTCATGTCCAGTGACTCGGGTTCTGACAAAGGCACATTGGACTCAAAACATTAACTATGCTTTCTTTCAACAGATGCTGCTAGACCTGCTGAGTTTCTCCAACAATTTCTGGATTTGTTTCAGAACCTATAGTAGGCAACTTAACAACTGACAAGTATGTTACTTGTGTACAGGACTGCAACTTCCCAACCTGCACAACACCCCACCCCTCTCCTACCATTCTCAGCGCCTTAATTACCATATCCCTCATTCCTATTCTATGTCCAATCGCTGCTCATCTTCTTATAGGACATCTCTCCCATTCTTCATGAAATTCTGGCTGTAGAGTAAGTCTTCATGCCCATCCCCACCCTGTCACAAACTGCTTGACCCACAATGTCCAAGTTCAGCACGTGCTCCTTTACTCTGCACCACAGCACTATCAGTGAAGGATACAAGGTTTGGTCAAACACGGTCCAGTCTCCCCCACAAAGTGGTACACCTGTTGTCTGCTGTCCCAGCTGTGTAACACACAGACAACAACTAGCAGAGAAGAGCAAATAAGCAGAAAGAACACAAACAAAATCAAAGGTCACCTTTAGTAACTCATGACTGAAATCAGGCTTCTGTTACATTAGTGACTGACTGCAGGCATCATGCAGGTGGTGTAACTATAACAGGTACCCAGGAGGACAGCCAAAGGAGCATCCAAAAGTGATCATAAGACTCAAAATGCTGGCTTGAGCTGGGACATCAATTCAATCATTATAAGTGTCTAGAGCCTTTCCGGTTCACAGATACAGTTGCTATTCCCGATTGTTGCCTGGCACTCTAACTGGGAAGTGCATGTCAAGACCTGGAGTAAGGCCAGGACTAGGCTTGGCTGTGCTCAGTATTGTTGACTAAATGTACTGTGTTAATCCTACTACCAGAGCAGCAAGACTTTGCCAGCCAAACCATTTGCTCTAGTCAGTGATATCTTGGGCGATGATTCAATTACACTCTTGAATCATTACATCATTGCCAACTGCGTCACAAATTATGTGATGTTTATCCTCAATGCCAAATTTAAACAGTGGTTTGTTAGCACTTGTAAGATGACCCATCAAGTACTCAATGTTCTTTGTCATTTTCACAGTCTGTGCAAATTTTCCATGGGTATGATGCATTGTCTATTGTAACAGAGTGAAAGGGACACAGCAAACACCAGTAAAAGTAGGAAGCTGCAGTACACTCAAAGCCCCATTAGACGCATCACACAAACCTCCACAATTGCAAAATATACAAACAATGCATAAGAATTCACTCCTAGCCCCTTCTGGCTGTGCTTCAATTCCACAAGCACTTCAGCTCACTTCGAACCATTCAGCCCATCAAGTCCCCACATATCCTCCAAACAGCATCCCACACAGATCCACCCCAACCACCACACTATTCCTGTAACCCTGCAATTCCGATGGCTAATCCACCTAATCTACACATCTCTGGATATTATGAGCAATTTAGCATGGCCCGTCAACCTAACCTGCACATCTTTGTACTGTGGAAGGAAACCGCAGCATCTGGAAGAAACTCACATAGACGCAGGGAGAATGTCTGTGTGGAGTGCGCAGTCATCCGAGGCTAGAATTGAACCCGGGTCCCTGGTGCTGTGTGGCAACAATGCTAACCACCGAGCCGTCATACGAGGCACTTGTGCAACGCTTACTCTTCAATGTGTGATTCTAAATGTGGTGGATCGAAAGGGATCTGTCACAGCTGAGCATAGAAAAATCTCAGTTGTTCATTGAACACTGTCCAATTTAACTCCACCACTCACTTCCTCCAAATGATAGGTGTTGCTATGATTACCCACATAGGTACTAACGATGCCTATTCTTTATAGAATCATAGGAATATCTTCTTGGTAAAGACTGATGCTAAGTCATCATTTACTCATTTCAGCTGTGCCTCAAGCCTACCTGTGCAAATTTCCTATTTCATCACAAACAGGTCGTACAGCTTTTATTATTTTTAGTAGTCTTTCACTATTTATATATCTTTTATATTCCCTTTTATGTTGTTTGCTAGTTTCTTCTCATACTTTCTCTTTGCTTCCCTTATTTCTTTATTCACTTGTTTTTGAACAGTCAATGCTGTATTCAGCATATTTCTTAATTGTGTTATCCATTTGAAATGTGTCACAGGCTTTTTATTAGTCTCTATTTGTCATCTTCAGGGAGCTCTGGTTTTGTTTGCCCTATCTGGCCCCCGATATGGAAATGTACCTCGACCATCTCTGAATTATGTCCTTTCTGAAAGTGGCCAGTTGTTCAGTTACAGCTTTGCCAACTGATCTTTGATTCCAATTTATGTGGGCCAAAACCATTCTCACTTTACTGCAGTTAGCCTTTCTCCAATTAATTGTTTCTGATTGGAATTACTCCTCATCATTTCCATAGCAAACCTAAACCCGTTGATACAATTACAAAAGAAAATATTGCAGATGTTAGAAATTGGAAATAAAAATGAAAAATGCTAGAAGTACTCACTTCAGGCAGTCTAGAGTAGATAGAGATAGGATGAACAAGAGGGAAGGTGGAGGGCTGGAAAGATTAAATTACCAAAGGTTTCATAGTACAAAAGCTAAAGGGAGCAACAATATGACAAATCAAATAACTGAAGGTGAGTCTAATGAAGATGTGAAGGGCAGGAAAGCAGTGATCTGGGTGCAAATAAATTAAGAAAGAAATTTAAAAAACATGTATTGAAACCCAATGGGCAGAGGTTCTAACCTTGCATTTCTGAGGAAGGGTCACCAGACCCTTAACGTTAACTCTTTTTTCTTTACAGATGCTGCCAGAACTGCTGAGCTTTTTCAGCAACTTCTGTTTTTGTTTCTAATTTTACATTATTGAACTCACTTGTTCAGTCAAGTACCTACTCAGAAGAGGTGCTGTGCCTCATGTTTGCTTGAAACTTTGTTGGGAAACTGTAGGAGGCCAAGGACAGAGAGCTCAAAATGGGAACTAAGTGGAGAACTGCTATGACCAACGAGAGGACGTTTAGCATTTTACTTGTGTCCTGAAAGGATGCATTCTACAAAGTCTGTGCTTTGTCTACTCAATGTGGAAGATCATATTGTGAGCTGTGAATACTGCACACTAGATTGTAACAAGTACAAGATTTCTGCTTCACCTGGAATGGATGTTTAGAGTCGTGCATAATGAGCCAGGAGGGGACACACGTACCTGCTCTTGTGCTGAAATGGAAAGGTACTGTGCGAAAGGGAGGGGATTTAGGTGTCACTGAGGAGCAGACCAAGTGTCATATAGGGCAACTATCCTTCTGAGATGTTGGAGAGTAGAGTGAAAGGTGTTTGATGGTGTCATCAAACTAGAGCTGACAGAAATGTTGAATTTGGAGGCTGGTGGAGTGCAAGGTGAGGACAAGGAAAACCCTATCATGGTTCTGGAGGGAGGGGAAGGGGTGACAGTGAAACATCTGAACAGGAGCAACAGTGAATTTTCACAGGAAACAGTATGGAAGGGAGTGTAGTGTTCTGTTGGTTTGTAATGAACATGAGTTGATTACTTATGTCAGAAAGAGACATAGAAATGTCTGAAAAAGCTGGGAAAAGTCTGAGATGGACCAGATGGAAATGAGAGAAGGGTGAAAATTGAAAACAAAGATTTCCAATTCAGCATACAATGCTATTCTTTTTTCTTTCAATGCGATATAGAACATAGAACAGTACAGCGCAGAAACAGGTTCTTCAGCCCATTAAGTCTGTGCCAACCATGATGCCATTCTAAACCAATCCCAACTGCCTGCACATGGTCCATATTGTTCTATTCCCTGCCTGTTGATGTCTAAATTCCTCTTAAACATTGCTAATGTATCGACTTCCCAGGTACGTTCCACGTACCTACCCTCCTCTGTGTAAAAACCTTTCCTCGCAAGTCTCCTTTAAACTTTTCCCTCTCACTTTAAAACTATGACCCCTAGTATTTGGCATTTCAACATTAGGAAAAAGACTAAATATCTGTCCTATCCACACCTCTCATAATTTTACACTCCAATCATGGAGTGAGAACAATCTAAGTTTGCACAACCTCTCCTTATAGCTAATACATGCCTATCCAGGCAACATCCTGGTAAACCTTTTTTGCACCCTTTCCACAGCTCCACATCCTTCCAGAACTGCACACAATACTCCAAATGTAGTCTTATATAGCTAAAACATGACTAGCCAACTTTAATACCCAATGCCAAACCGATGAAGGCAAGAATGCAGTTGCCTTCATTACCACCTTATCCACTTGGTTTTGTACTTTGTACGTTAAGATGGCTCCAGAGAATAGCGACTTTGTACACTTTTCACTGTACTCCTATGTTCCTGTACTTGAGCATGTGTGTCAATAAAATTTAACTCTAATTCTAATTCTAACTTGTGTTTCCACTTTCAGGGAACTAGGGACTTGGACACCAAGATCCCTCTGCATATCAATGCTCCCAAGGGTCCTGCCATTTACTGTATACCTTCCTCTTGCATTTGACCTCCCAAAATGCATCATCTCATACTTGTCCTTATTAAAGTCCATCTGCCATTTCTTCACCCAACTTTCCAAATGGTTTACATCCTGTTTTATCCTTTGATAACCATCCTCACTATCCACAACTCCACCAATTTCCAAGTTGTCTGTTGAACTTACTAATCAGACCACCTACATTTTAGTCTATATCATTTATATATATGACAAATAAAAGAGGTCCCAGCACTGATCCTTGCGGAGCACCTCTGGTGACAGATCTCCAGTCAGAAAAATATTCCTTCACAAGTACCCTCTGTCTTTTATGACACAAGCCAATTTTGTATCCCGCTTGCCATGGTTCCCATGTAACTTAATTTTCTGGGTAGGCTACCATGAAGGACCTTGTCAAATATTTTAGTGAAGTCCATATAGACAACATTGACTGCCCTACCCTCATTAATCATCTTTGTCACTTCCTCAAAAAACTCTATCAAGTTTGAGAGACACAACCTCCCCTGCATAAAGCCATTGCTGACTATTTGTAAGAAGTGCATTCTTCTCCAAATGCAAGTTAATTGTACACTTAAAAATCTGCTCTTAACTTCCCTACCACCGAGGTAATGAGCACTGGCCTATAATTTCCTAGATTCTCCCTGTTGCCCTTCTTAAAGAAAGGAACAACATCGGCTATTCTCTAGTCTTCTGGGACCTCGCCTGTGGCTAAAGTGGATACAAAGATCTCTGTCAAAGCCTGAGCAATCTCCTCTCTTACCTCCTTCAGTATCCTGGGATAAATTCCGAGGGCCTGATGGGATCTAACTACCTTAATGTTTTTCCAGATACCGAACACTTCCTTCTCCTCAAGTCAACATGTCCCTCCCTAATCTTACCATCATCCATGTCTTCTCCATGGTAAATAATGATGCAAAATACTCATTAAGAATTTAACCCACTCCCTCTGATTCCATGCATAAATTCCCTCCAATGTCTTTGAGTGGACCTATCCTTTCCCTAGTTGTCCTCTTGCTCCAAATATACAGGTAAAAAATGCCTTGGGATTCTCATTAATCCTAATTGCCAAGGATGTTCCATGGCCCCTTCTAGCCCTCCAAATTTTTGTTTAAAGTCTTTTCTGCCTCCTTTGTACTCAAAAATCTTGTTTGATTTCAGTTTCCTAAACCTTACATATACTTTCTTTCTTCTTTAGACTAAACTTTCAATATCTCTAGTAATCCAAGGTTCCTGAATCTTGCCACCCTTATCTTTCAGTCTTATAGCACATGCCGATCCTTAACTCTGATCAACCGGTCTTTAAAATAAAACCACGTCAGATGTAGATTTATCTTCAAACAGCCCACAATCTAATTCCTCCAGTTCCTGCCTAACACTGTCGTAATTATCCTTCTCCAAAATCAGCACTTTCACCCGAGGACCAGTCTTATCTTTATTCACAACTATCTTAAAACATATGGAATTATGATCATTTCCCCCTATAATTCTCCCCAAATTAAACTTCATCATCTGGCCAGGCTTGGTCTCCAATACAATGGCTAGTATGGCCCCTTCCCTAGTTGTTCTATCTCCATATTGTTTTAAGAAATCCTCCTGCATGCACCTAACAAATTTTGTCCCATCTAAGTCCCTGGCACTAAAAGAGCCCTAGTCAATATTGGCGAAGTTAAAATCACCCACTACAACAACCCTGTTGTTCTTACAAATTTCCATGATCTGCTTACATATCTGTGCCTTCATCTCTTGCAGGGTATTTGGAGGAAGAGTATAACTCCATCATATTGATTGCACCTTTCATATTCCTACATTCTACCAATATGGCCTCACTGGATAAGACCTCCTAGATATCACCTCTTAATGCAGTTCTGACATTCTTCTCAATCAGTAATGCAACTCCCCCATTCCTTTCACATCCATCTCTATCACACCTGAAACATTAAACCCTGGAATGGTGTGTTGCCGGTTCTGTCCTTCTCTCAACCAAACTTCTGCAATGGCTACCTCATTGTAGTTCCATATACTAATCCAGGCTCTAAGCTGATCTGTCTTACCTGTTATACTCCTTTCATTAAAATAAATACACTTCATACCACCAGTCCTGCCATGTTCACTAACCTGGCCCTGTGGTAAGGCCGGCATTTGTTGCCCATCCGTAAATGATCCTGAACAGAGCGGCTGTCTAGTCCATTTCAGAGGAT